CAGCCTGCTGTGTGTGTTCTGTCCAATCCGGACCAAAAAGGAAAAATGCGACGTATTGATTGTTTGAGGCAAGCCGATAAAGTCTGGCGATTAGACTTGGTCATGGTCATTCTTTTCAAGGTATGACCGCTATCCATTAGTAAAGACTGACATTGTGTTATATATTGGTTACAGAGAAAGCTCTTATTGAATCTGAATGCTCTGTAAATTTTAAGCAGCTTTTCGTTTATCGAGGAGCTTACATGTTTCTTTGATATCTCTGATTTTAGGGCATTCCTCTCGAAAGCACAGACAGCGAAAGACTGGAGAAGTGTGCAGAGTGTGTTTTTCCCGCTGTCTGCGTGAACCCTTATCACATTTCTATAGCCGTGCGTGAATTAGATTTGTTTCTTGCGAATTTCATACGCACCGGTAATCCAGACGAAAAAGATGTGCGTGATGAAAAACCGGAAGAGAAGCAAAAAGGTATGCTTGCTGTTGTGCATAGAAACATCAATTTTGAAACAGAGCATTATTTATCTCTTTCATTTTTATTACTGGCATATGCATTCTGTTATCATTCTTGTATCCATTGGCATGCCATAGTTACCTTTAATGTTGCAATCTCAGATAAGAAAACAATCTCTTTCTTTTTCTCTATCGGAACACCATACCCAAGATTCGGATTTTTGACAGCCATTGTCCTCTTTTCCATATACATCTGCTTGCTACTCATCATCCTTTCAGTTGATATATTGATGAACGACATAGGTCCGGAAGGTATCTGGGGCACTGGCGTATTTTCAGCTTTTGAGTTGAAGACATTAACAAAGCGTATGTTTTCCAATCGGCAACACTCCTTTCTGTCATATTCCTTTAATGTTTTAGCTTCGATTGTAACATGTTCTTCTCTAACCAATGGACGACCCGTTATGCAGTCCACTCTCCGAAAAAATGACACATCTTCGTGGATCTCGGCCCTTTCTTCAAATAATTCACCTCTCGATGGGAGCCTCCCATCTTCTCCACCTCCTAGCGCGATGGCAGCTATTAAAGCTCTCGCGGAATCAGAATGTAATGTGCTTTGTTTGGCGCGAGCCATATTCCTTATCATTCCTGTCTATCCCAATATCATCATCAATGCTTTAGGCCATATACCGGGTACAACCTCAGGAACACTGCGATCATCGAACTCCATTCCTCAAGTGGGCGCTGTGGTTACAGTTGGTGTAAATAGCGAGACAAAACAGTCACTCATTGGATATAGTGGGGCAGATAATGAGGTTACCTCCCTCGCAGTTCAGTTTTGGACTGCAGCAGTGAAGCATTCTGATTAAGGATGAGCCAAACGAAAAAAGAAGTCGACATGCATCACGCGACTCTGCCACGAGCAGCACAAATGAGGAGGTAAGGCGAATTGTTGAACGCGCGACGGAAAGCGGTTGGAATGGTGGTTTGACCGGGGATGATATTGCTGCTGGAGAACCATCACGGAGGAGCGAGTTTGTAGAGTTTGTTTTTACCTTGTTGTCTTGATTATTAAGCAGAGTCGTATCAGATAAGATAATTTCTCATTTTTAGAAAATCTCATCGTGTCGTACAACAGCGAGATGGCAATCGATATCTGAAAATTGTCCAAGCAGGGTAATCTATTTTCAGACAGCTTTTGTTGGGGACTGATTCCCCCAAAGTTCGTTGAATTCCTTTGATAGAGGGAGTACCCGTAAAA